AATGCTCAGTCCTCACCTCCTTCTACAGGTGTGCAGTGGAGAGCATCCTGTGATCCAGCATCAACGTGTGGCATGGAGGCTGCACAGAAAACTGTTGGAGTCAGCCTCCACACCATCACAGACATCTACACCTCCAGATGCAGGAAGAGGGCCACCTGCATCATGAAGGACCCCACTCACCCAGCACACACACTTTTTGCCCCACTCCCCTCAGGAAGGAGGTTGAGGAGCATTAAGTGTAGAACCACTAGACTGAGGAACAGCTTCTACCCTGAGGCTGTTAGACTCATGAATCTCTAACCAGAATAATCACTGTGAAAAATCACATCATGTTGCTGTGTTCATGCTCATCTGCTCACACAGACTGATGTTCATGCTGCTGTTTGGTGTATTGTTTTTATGTTATTAGTACTTAGTGTATAGTTGATGTTTTTCTTAGTTCATATCTTAAATCTTATTACTGTTTTTCTTTTACATTTTATTTTTGAATGTAACTGGGACCTTGTGTACACAATTTCACTCCACCACATGTACCACATGTGGTGGAATGACAATAAAGAATATCTGAATCTGAACTTATTACAGAATTATGCTGTTAATTTTCCTAATGAGCTGCTCCATCATCTTCTAGGACGAGCCAGGAAATATTTGTGTAAACATGGCATGCATCCACTGCAAACTGAGTCACATCCAGGGCAGCCTGACAGGAGCAGGGCTGAAACATGATGGAGTAATCACTGGAGCGGCACAAAAGTCGGGATAATGTTTAGGTGGGTGTGGGTGGAGGGTCAGAGAGGGACTCAGGGGAGAGAAAGAGAGAGTGAGTGGACGAACTGAAAGTGGCCTAAATGTGTGAAACACCAGAGGGGTGGCTTTTTTTTTTAAACACCTAGGGAAGTTTTGGTCAACAAGAGAAAAGTTGCCAAACTTTAACCTTGGAGCAGAGCATCACTGACCAGTGTGTGATCACATGTCTTATCATGGAAACAACATGAGGCACATCACCTAAGCCCGTGTTTCATCCCTGGGACACAAAGCTGTGAGTGATGAGCACCGTGGCCTTGGAGGCACACGGCAGCAGGGCTTCATCAAGGGGCGCTCAGGACAAAGCTCTCCGGGCAGCGTCGGAGCGCAGCGGCTACGTGCGGACATGCGTCCTCCCGCTGCACCGGGACGAACCGAGCCAGTCGTGGCTCAGACTCGCCGTGACATGGACGTACCCGAGAGTGTCCTCTGCTGTCTGCGCTGCCTCGGTTCTGCTGCTCCTCACACTGGTGGCTGAGTGGGATGCGGGCGGAAATACTTGGTGCGGCTCTGGTTTTCAGTGCGCCGTGGAGCTGCTCTCCGCTGCGTGTCACTGCGTCTCCACGGGTTTTACTCTCCTATGTGCCTTCTTCTGGCTCTGGCTCGCTCTGATCCGCTGCGGGCTGCTGATCCGGAGCGCGCTTTTCCTCCTAGCGGCGTGCCACCTCGGCGAGGCGGCGGCGCAGTCGCTCCTGCGCGGCGCTGAGGAGGAGCTGTCGTCCCCCGCCGCCACCCTGCTCGTCCTCGGCTGCGTGGGCAGCGGGGCTCTGCTGGTCGTCCGGCCGGGACAGGGAGTGTCCGTGCTCGTCTCAGTCAGCGTGATCCGGGCCGCGTCCCTGCTGTCTCTGAGCAGAGTCCGGCCCGGCTCTAGACCCTACCTGGCCTACCTGCTGGGGCTGCTGGGGGTTCTGCTTGCGAGTTATGCTGACCGGCTTCTGCCGGCCTCAGGGACCAGCGGGACGGGGTGCTGCGGCTCTGTGACCGGGGCGAAGGAGGAGGACATCCCTGTCTTCAAAAGGAGACGGAGGTCCAGCTCCGCAGCGGCCTCGGAGATGCTGGCTCACAGTCAGAGCAACAGCAAGTCCCACCGCAGGACTTCGCTGCCCTGCATTCCGCGGGACCAGGTAGGACAACTTTACACATCTGGAGCAGATGTGATCGGATGGCGAGGGGTGTTTGTGTTTGTTTGGGACCTTTGAGCTGCAGGCCCTGCTCCTCTCTGTCTCTGATGGCATGTGCAGCTTTGGAACAACAGATCTCTGACTCTGTATCGTGATGATGATGATGGCTGTTTGCTCCATGTAGGCCATCATCATCATCATCATCATCATCTGGGCGTATCTTTTGTGTTTTATCCGCTTGTTTCTGGTGCAATACCCTGAGTGATGCTGTTTCCATGTAACCTCTGCGGGTCATTCTGTCATCAGGGGCTGTGCGCTGTTTGTGACGCTGATAAGGAGGTGGTTTGTCAAGCCAAGTTTCTGAGTGCTTGCGATTATGCGTGTGCGTGTGTGCATGCTGAGGTGTGAAGTCACATCTAAATATTTTTGAAACACGTTGCTTGTCCTGGCTGCAGTGGAGTGTTGGTTACACTTTTGACATATGGAGTCTTTATGGTGCATGTTTACTGTAACAATCAGCAAAGAGAGAAAAAACTAAGGAAAATGATATCTGAGGCAGAAATTGTTCAACTTTTGATTTAGTGAGAACCACTGATTTTTTTTACTTCATCCTTTTCCACGCTCACATTTGATGTTTTTATATTTTTCTGTCAATTTTTCATGTGCAAACATAAGTGTAGTGATAGATAGATAGATAGATAGATAGATAGATAGATAGATAGATAGATGATTGATAGATAGATTGATAGATAGATAGATAGATAGATAGATAGATAGATAGATAGATAGAT